TTTTTTTTTGTTTTAGAAGAATAGGAAGCTGGGGCGACAGATGCAAAGCTTTTTAAAAAGCTTTGTTTGTAAAAATCTGAGGTCAGAGCCCAGTCTGAAGTGAGCAGATTGACTTGTCTTGGTTGAAGTGCAGGGCAGGGTGGAAGCTGCCTGGGAGAGGAGCTGCTGGGGGCTCTGCAGCCCCTTGCACTGTACCCAGCGGGTGCCAGGTTCAGGAAGCAGCAGAGCTATTGCTTGGTTCCTTGAAGGCTTTGGAACATGTCGCGTTCTTGTGTTTTCTGCCTCTCTCAAGAAAACAAAAACTTAGAAATTCTTTGTGAGCAGCCTGTCCAAGCCTGTCTTTTAAAGTGTGTAGGACAGATGAAAACGAAAACATTGCATCCAAGCTCATCAGAATTTATAAATATTTGGACACATGACATAGAAAAATACTCAGCTAGATCAGAGAGGACAGATCAAGGAATTGGTTAGCTGGGGAATAGAATATCAGTGTTTTTTCATTTGTAGCTATTTGTCAGTCTTATGTGCTCATTGAACAGTTCACAGCAAAATGCCAAGACTTACCAAGGTCTGTTCTCTTGCAGGAAGAGCTGATTAACTTGGTTGTGATCTCTCAGCTGGCCCACATTCCAGAGGATAAAGACCACCAAGTCCGAAAACTGGCCACTCAGCTGCTCGTGGACCTGGCTGAAGGCTGCAACACGCATCACTTCAACAGCTTGCTTGATATCATAGAAAAGGTGAGGCCCAGCTTGCCAACCATTAATTGCTGCAGCTTTTGTCAGATTTTCCTGTGGCCGAGGAGTCTAACCCATGGATGTTATGGCTCACACGGTTCAGCGGGATGTTGGAAGGTGTCTGGGCTTCCTCAGGCTGCAGGGCTGGCATGCAGAGTGGGAGGAAGCTCAGAAACCCTCTCAGTGCGCGTCCAGGGTACCCAAGGTTGTGGGTTTTCCAGCAAGGATGGAAGGGTGGCTTGTGATCTTATCTGACCTCCTAGGATGGGATTAGGAAAAAAAAAAAGGCATGAAAATTTAAAATATATGTTACCTTTCTTTTTAAAAGGTGGCTGCACATTCTCTCTCATCTCCCTCTGAACTGGAAGAGAGGGACTTGCTATCATATTCAGCTTCTTTAGAGGATGTCAAGACAGCAGTTCTTGGACTCCTGATAATTCTTCAGGTAAATGTTGCAAATCATTAAACACGTCTTCTTCAGAATAATCTTCTGCTGGACTTGGCTTTTTAGATAACAATTTTCTCACTAGCAAATGTTCTGCCTTCTAATTTATCCATGTCTTAATATTTAACTCTTGTTTTGGTGACTTCTTTTTGGGTACTGTATGTTTGTTAAATGTTTTACTTTCTTAATTTCCACGTGCAATGAATGTGAGCATGTTTTCATGTTGGTGTGGAGGACAGATGTGTTCATAAGCTGCAGCAGAAGGGGAGTGGCTCATAGTCTGCAATAACATCTAGTGTGTTTGGGTAGCTACGTCCTGAGATACAGCTAAGCACTTGTGAAGAGGTAGTTGAGCTGACCATTGCCTTCTGAAGGCTGTCTGGATGCAGCTGTTTATCTTGCTTCTGGGAGCTGTGTGTGCCTGAATTTTCAGTGTAGATATGCATTTCTGAATAAGGCTTCAGTCTGTCTTTTGACTGTGTTTCTGTTTCTCTGTAGACAAAACTTTACAGCTTACCTGCCAGCCATGCAATGAGGGTGTATGAGATGCTGATCCATCATGTCCAACGCCATTACATATATGCATACAGCCTTGCTGTCGCCAGCAGCATCAGACTGCAGGTATGAGCCCAAGCTTTCAGTGCAGAGCTGCCTGCTGTCCTTGGATTCTTGGCTAGCAGGTGGGGGTTGTGTTCTTTAGATCCATATTTGCAGCTACGTGAATGTGAGTTGCATCAGAAGTGCAGCTGAATGCATCTTGGCTAGGAGGAGTGTGCAGCTGTACCGTAACACCAGAGCTGTCGACTTCAAGTTATGAGTGCAGAACTAGTCACAGCATCTAAAAAACTACACAAACAGAAAAAGCCCTCTCTCTGTGCCTGCGGGAGTATTGGAGGTAGGGAAGTGAGCAAGCATTCCACTGGCTTGAGTTTTGAGTTATTTCTCTGTCTTCTCCTTTGCAGGTATTTGATTTCCTGCTCATGCTTCGAGCCGACTCTCTCCACCGTCTTGGGCTTTCCAACAAGGATGGAGCCGTGAGATTCAGCCCTTATTGTCTATGTGATTTCGTGTAGGTCTTCCACTGCATTTGGCAAATGCTGTTTTCAAAAATGTTTGGCATCCTTGTAAGAGCTTAGTAGTCCATCAGTAGCAATCCCCATTTTTCTTTTCCTAAATCTTCCAAACCCTGATGAATCTCATACTAGACATACCTGTAGTTTCTGCCTAGGAGTGTCATGACGAGTCATTCATTGGTGAATTGCTCTTACAAACCATTTGTCTGCAGAGTTCTTGATCTCAGACATGGAACTTTTGTTGCTGCTTCACAATATGTTTGCAATCTCCAGCCTGAATCTAATTCTCACATTAAAGTTTTGTTCAGTGATTTGTGTAAAACTGGTTACCTTTAATTTTATAGCCTAGTCTGATTTTTTTTGTTTGTTTGTTTAACATATCCTAATGATACCTCTTTTAGTAGAAACCCCCAAAATAAATTTGGTAGCGGCCTGGATAGGAAGAGCTTTGTCCAGACAAAACACACACCTCCTTGCTCTCCCTCCTGACAATGCTCTTTATGTTGTCGTTTGGTTGTCAAAGCTACTACCAAATAGTGTAGTATTGACAGTCGTGTGAATAGGCTGCTCTTATTTTGGTTTTGTATTTCCTTTCCTTTCTTTCTTCTCTTTTTCTGCCTTTCCATGGTGTAGAGAAGCAGAGAAGAGGACTTCGGAGAAGAAGCCTGCTGGCACACTGTCTCCACCCTCGGGAAGTCCCAGTGTGCCTCCCCAGAATGCCACCATTCGGATAGGACATTTGCCATACTCGATGGTCTTTGGGGTCCTGCTGCAGTGTTTGAAGCAAGTACGTCCCTTCTCAATGAGTGGTGTCATCTTCACGTGAAACACCTCAATTTAAAATGATGGAAAACTCAATTATTTAAGAACTGGAAATTTAAGTGTTAACTTTTTGATCTGGCTAATTTACTTGTATCTTTAAAGCTATTCACTGTAGATCCCCCTTTTTTTTTAATAGACTTTTAGATATTCCAATCCAAAATATTTCAATATATTTTAAGTATTTTAAGAAATCTTGGAGACTAAGTGATTATTTCCTTGTTGATGTTTTACAGAGACTTACTCCATTTTAAAGGATGGAATGAGGCAAATGTGACACGTAACGTGCTTTTAAAATTTTTAGTGCTCAGTTCTATTCTGGCTAGAGAATGCCATCCCTGAGCATCTAAGTAACATGTGAACAGCAGGACTTGATTTCTCCTGCACAGACAGAACCTACGTGTAATTGTGGACTTTTCCAGCCACCAGTGGGAGCACCAGTTCAACTCTTCAGGAAGGAAGCAAGGCTTTCATTGCCCTCTGCTTCAGAACAGGCAAGGACAAAAATGTGTTTGCTCAAAATAAATCAAAATAGTCACCCTATTTCTGAAAGAGCAGTTGAAACTAGAAGAAACCTTTCTCCTACTGGTATAATGGGAACTGGTGCATTTTTTTAGTCACTAATGAACTCTGAATGTCGGTTGCTCATTAACATTGTGTTTGGACACTGTCACATTCGGAGAGGGCATCTCTGCTCTGGAAGTTAATTTGTGCTAGTGATTAGGATTGTTGAATTCTATCTCTGTGTGACTGAGCTCAGTCAGACCTAAATAGCAGTTGTTTTTCAGTTTACAACAGCATCTAGAGCAGGATAAAGCCGTTCTTTTTATGTAGCTACTGTGGCAAGACATGCATCTGCTCTACAAAGTGGCATGTTGTCTGAAGTTCGAGTGGTCTTACTTTCAAACTGAACAGAAATCGTATGAAAATATTGCACCTTAAAGCATGCTGATGTTTTTCTTTATTTCCAGGAGACAGACTGGAAGGTGTTGAAGTTGGTCCTCAACAAGTTACCAGAATCCCTCCGCTATAAAGTGCTATTCTTAACCTCTCCCTGCAACATAGACCTCCTGGCCTCTGCACTGAGCTACATGGTAATACCGTGTGCCCTGCTCATGCATAAATCACCGGATCCTTACTTTGCTTGAGTTTTTGTATTTCAATCTAATGTTCTGAAGAGTAGCTTGTTTGTCAGTCCTCATTCACCTCCCCTTTTTGTGAGGGTATTTTTAGGTGTTTTAAGTACAGAGAGAAGGAGAGAGAATATGCATACACGTGTACATATATAGTATATATTTGTGTGCATGTATACATATACAATTTTTGTACATGTATGTGTGTTGATAAATAAACACACACATACATAAATATATATTTGGAGATACACACATGCCTGTGGCAACAACAATCTTACTGTGCACATCTAAGCCTCTCTTGGTAGCAGCCTTTCTCCAGCCTCTTTGCTCTGCAAAGCTGTGTACTCTTGCATGTCCAAAGAGGTCCAAAACCAGGTTTCACGGATGGCTCTGTGGTTTCAGATTCTCTTTGGAGATTAGCATGTGTTTGCATCTGTCTCTGTGTGCATTTTAAAGGCCGCTGAGATGCCATCCGTAGGTTGTCTCTATGTTTACATGGTGCTGTCAGAGTTGAGTGGAATCCTGGAGAACTTTTGTCCAAAACTGTTAAAGGGAATTCCTTTTAATGTTATTCTAACATGTCTAGCTTGTAAACCATCTATAAATAGCAAAAATCATAAAATGTTTTAAAGTGTGTCACAGACACTGCCTTTCAGCTGCATTTTAGAGGATATTTTTAGCATGATATATTCTAACTTAATGTGTGATTTATCAGCTCACAGACAAAAAGACTACTGACAGGCTCCATGGCACCCCAGAAGGCTTCTCTCGCACTGATTTGCACCTGGCTGTGGTTCCAGTACTGACAGCATTAATTTCTTATCATCATTATCTGGACAAAGCTAAACAGGTACCAGGGAAAGCAATAGGCTGTGGGGGAGTGGGGTCTGAGCCTGTATAGCAGGGAATTTTCTCATACTAGGCAATTAGGATTCTAAAATTCAAGGCAGCACCTTCTTCTACTACAGAAAGTTTCATCTGCTCTTTTTTGAGTGGAAGAAGTGCCAAATACTGTTAGCTTTGTGCAGCATTAGCTGCTTGGCTAATTGGTTTCATTATTCTTCATTCACATGTCTCCTTTATATGTTCCTGAGTGAATTTACCCTCTGCTGAAAGATCTTGATAAATATATACATAAGAAAAATAGAACAGAAAGACACAAAAGCTTCTTAAAAAGAGGCATTTGATACATCTCTGCTTTGATCAGGAAATTAAGTAATAATTTCTAAAACTTCTGTCTGTTTTAAGTCCCCTGTTAGGGTTTTGGCTTAGGATACAGGGTATCTGCAGCATTATTTAGGGTTTCAGTGTTGCAAGACATTCTGAAATGCTAACTGAAGTCGAGGGATAATACGTATATATATATATATGTATGTATGTTTTGCTTTCTCTGTATCCTAACGTTTTATCTTTTTCCTGACTTTTCTAGCGTGAAATAGTGTATTGCCTGGAACATGGCCTTATTTATCGCTGCGCAAACCAGTGCGTTGTGGCGCTCTCTGTGTGTAGCGTCGAGATGCCCGATATCATCATAAAAGCACTGCCTGTCTTAATAGTCAAATTAACCCACATTTCTGCTACTGCCAATATGGCGATCCCACTCTTAGAATTTCTTTCAAGTAAGTTACAATGATCTACATTTGATCTTCTGTGGTTGTATGTGTATTTTTAGACTATGATTATTTTTATTGTGTTAGTCAAATGCAATGCATTGTAATGTTTTCTCATTTTTTGATCATCTTGTTTACTACTGTTTTCTACTAAAGGCAGTTGTGCACACTGGGGAAAAAAAAATTAAATAAGGGGCAGGCTTTGTGTAGTGTGGCCATACAGTTATGGAATATATAAAGTTGTTCTCCCTGCCTTGTTGTTTCTAACTTAAACACTGCAATTATGGAATTACAGCATGATGTTAACTTCCAAGTCAGCTGCTGATTGAGAAGTAACCAAATAATTTGGACTAAAGCGAGTTGTGGTAGAGAGTAGCCCACGTTCAGACAGGCTTCACATGTTTCTTTTTGTGTGTGTTTGTTTTTCCTCCTGGAACGGTTCCAGCTCTGGCGAGGCTGCCTCATCTTTACAGGAACTTTGCAGCAGAGCAGTATGCCAGCGTGTTTGCCATCTCCCTACCATACACAAACCCTTCCAAGTACGTTCATAGCTAGTATTCTTCTTAATTTGGTTGCTTATGGGACGTTGTTTATTCTGGTATCTTCAGCCTTTTGCTAAAGAAGGGCCATGCTCAGCTTGGGCAAAATATTTGTTTATACTGAACCCTTGAGTTTTTTTTTTAATTATTTTAACCTTATTAAACTAACATTTCCCTAATAGAAAAATCACTCTGTTCAATCCTGGAATAGGAAGCCTTTGTATTACAGCATTAAACTCTGTGGAGGCCTTTTGCTGTTTTAGGTTTAACCAGTACATTGTTTGCCTCGCCCATCACGTGATAGCGATGTGGTTCATCCGATGTCGACTTCCCTTCCGGAAGGACTTTGTCCCTTATATTACGAAGGTAATGGATACTATGGAATTGCAATAACACACAGTGAAAAAGATGTCTTAAAAACTGCCCTGAGCAGTGCAAAGGTTCTGTCTGAAACCAGAATGATTCTTCTTTTCTTGTCAACATCTTTTTCCAAAACTAAATTTGAGTTTTGGGCATTGGCCCATGATTGTAGTTTTTCAACTCTGAGTCCTAATCATTGAAACTGTTACCTGTTTGTCTCAATTGGCAGGGTTTACGCTCAAATGTCCTCCTCTCCTTTGATGACACACCAGAGAAGGACAGTTTCAGGGCTCGTAGTACAAGCCTGAACGAGAGGCCAAAAAGGTAAATTGAATTTGAATCCAGTGTTGGATCCAGTTCCCTGTTTTAGTGGTCACACCCTTCCCTCTGTTTTTCTGGAGAAGGGTGCGTTTAGTTATCCAAAATCTGATAGTGGAATTAAGCAAGCAAAGTAAACCTCTTTAGGTGTGTCTTTTACCAATCCCTTGACACAGACAGGCAAGGCAATGGAATCAAACTAAGCTGACAGTGTGATAGTACAGAGGAGGGTGTCCCTAGCTGTTATATAAGATTGACAGTAAGGTAAGGTGTGGGCTTTATTTTATCTATTTATTTATTTTTGAAACCGTTTCTTTCATGTTGATACATATCAGTGTGGTGCTAACTGAAGTGAGGGAGAAGGGAATGTCTACATCCATATTGATAGTGTTAACTCTTTTTAACAGTTCACCTGTAATGACCATGGAAATGCTTGCCAGAGAAATTGTTATGCTTAGCATTGTTATGCTTTTCCTTAGTGCTATCTGCCAAGTCAATGTACAGGGGCTGGGGTGGGATATCTGCTTACCTGCATTGCCTGATCCTGTTTGGAATCTTGAAACCAGTTTGTGAGTTTAGTGCAAAGCCCTGTTGTCTTCAGAAGTGAAAATGCACCTTGCCAGCAGGATTTCAAAGCACCGTTGCAGAGATGGGAGAATATTGCCTGGAAAGCTTACTGGGAGCCTCCAGTGTCCTTTTACCTGCAGGGCTTACCTAAATTGGTTCACTTAACTTGCTTTAGGGTTTACATGCAGTAAGCATACAGTGGTATTTGAACCCTGGGGAAAGTGCCTCTACTTTAACTGCAAGGCTCAGTGAGTACCTTGCAATGAAGAAACACCATCCTTGCCCTCGTGCTGTAGCTGTAAACGCTGTTTTGTGTTTTCATCTATCCCATCCCCTCTGCTTTCATCGAGAAATTTGGAGGAGGTGCTTCTTGCCACTTGTCTCAAGTTAGAATTTCAACTGATCTTTCTTCAACACCTATTTAATTCAACCAGGTTGGAATACTACTGTATCAAAAGGCTGTTGCTTTGGCTAACGCTGTTGGATCCCTTTCCACAGAATTCCTGTTAGGGACTGTAGGCTGCTGTGCTCAGGCAGCAGCTGAGGCGCCAGGGCAGCGGTGACGAGAGGAAACAGCTTCTAGCAGATACCTTTGCTTGAGGAAATGTTATTTGAATCACTAAGGTCAGGAAAGCAGGCATGTACTTTAGGTAAGGTGCCAGAGCTGGAGGCGATTCCCAGGTTTCTGGGTGGCGTGGTGTTGCTGGAGATGGTATCTCAGTGTAAGCCTGTGCTCTCTGTGGTCACATCTCCATCTGTGGCCCGAATGTCATCTCAGAGATGCCTGGGAGGAGAAGAGAAGGAGAAATAGATCTGATCCCTACATGGACTGACTGTGTAATCGTTCCCTGAAGCAGGACTGCTGACAAGTCATGTTCAGAAAGAACCAGACAGGTTAAATAAGTATTTGCATCTCTTATACGCTGATACAAGCTGATGGTCCAGCTGTTGTGTCCTGATGAGCACTCAGACAGGCATGAATTTCACCTTGCCTAATTAAAGTACCTCTGAGAAGTTAATTGCTGTCTCACAGATGCAATTGGCATCTGACAGTGTGAACACCATTCTTCATTTCTGTTCTAGCGGAAAGTCAAAAGGTACCTGAAATAAGACTGGCAGAAAAGCATCACAGTCAGCAACAGCCCAAAGGATGTTTGTCCTCTTGCCGTTCCATCCATATGGCGCAAGAAGGATAAATCTCCTTCAGAAGGGCTGAATCTCCTCCCGTGTCCCAGGATCAAGGGGCGCCTCTCGCTGTCCCCGGCAGGTTTAGCAGTGCAGGTGGCTGTGGCTCGGGGTGTCACCTCGTGTCCAGGCCAGCCCAGCAGCGCATGGGGCCTGGCCACGTCCTGGGTCTCGCAGGAGAACGTGCTGCTCTCCAGTATTGGCAGCACTAGGTCTTGGGGTCTTGTCTCCGTGGAACTAGTTGATTTTTAGCAGTTCTGAAATGGTGAGTTAGAGTAACACAAGAGGTGACTGAAATGCACAAAGCTTCTCAGACTTGAGAAATTTGCCAGATTTGCATTCAGATGCTTTTGCCTTTCTTTAAGACAGCGTAGTATTCCAACTGTCACAATTTCGATCAGTTTTGTTTTAACTTGTACTAATTTCATTTGTTTTGTAGCACGTTTAAAATCTTGTTTTCAAAATATGGTTTGTCTTTTTTAATGCTTTCGGCTCTGCTTGTTTGTATGTTTTAATTTTTGTTTTCCTTTTTTGGCATTTGTTTTATTTTATATCACCCTCCGGGATCCCCCAATATTGACCCTGTGGCCTGTGACCTTTCAACCTACATCCCTACAATGATTTCCTCCCTTCCTGTGACCTCTTTTGGGGCTTGGTGCTTCTCCACCTAGTAGTTTAAGACTAGCCAAAAATGCAAAGCAAGGCTTGAATAACTCTCCTCCAGTGAAAGAGCTGAAAGAATCCTCTGCAGTTGATGCCTTCCGATCCCGCAGCATCAGTGTGTCTGAACATGTGGTCCGCAGGTAGAGGCACTTTAAATGGGGAGAATCCAAGAGCAATTCAGCACTTGGAAATATTACTGCAAGGGCGGGTGGAAACAGGGTGGATTTGCATGTGGGGATGCTTGCATGACTGCATTAGGCTGTTAAAGATCTGGTCTTAGCTGCAGTCTAGGTTTTGGGAAGGTGTCATGGGTATTCCATGGCTTCCCAGGGCCAGCTGCTGGATTGTCACATCACGCCCTGTGCTGGGGGTGTTTACTTTGCCCTATTCTCTGATGCTTTAGCAGCAAAAAAATCCATTCCAAAGTAAAGATGGTGCCCCAAAAAAAAAAAAAAAAAGTTGCATTCTGTGCAAATGAGAATCCTTGTCTAAAAATTCACTAAAACTTAAGCATTCTAGGAAGTGACTCGACATAGGAGGGTCTTGATATTCTGCAAACTGATGTGCCAGCCTTCCTCAAAGCGAGGAATGTTTTTGGTCCTTTCTTGGGACCTGTTCTGTGAGTAGAGAGCTGATAAAGTATTTTAGTCTAAAGTGACTCTCTGTGAAGCCTTAGCTTATTGCTCCACAGAGGAGTGGAGGGTGAAATGTATACGAAGCCATTGCTTTCATGGCTAATGAGAAAAAAAAGGGTTTTGATCACAGTGAGCATGGGCATTAATTTGCTCAAATGAAAGACAAAAAAATATTCTAGTTTCTTAAATATCTTAAGATCTCTGCCCTTGAATGTTAATTTGTTACCTATAACATATTGGTTGAAAATCTGAACTTGAGGATTTGTGCTTTAATCTATAGGGAACATATTTCCTTCTGGCAGTAGAGTTTTTCTGTTTGTTTATGTTCTTTTGACTGTATTTTATTTGGGGCAGTGATGCTGAAGTGACTGGATTTGCTATATTTCCGGATTGGATATACTTCTGGCACTTCATTCTCTAATGTCCCCGTTAGTGTATTATTGACTCTCTTCCCTGGTACTTATATGTAAGTTGTAGCAACTGAAAGTTCAGGTATTTATCCTTAAACATGACAAAGAGGTTCCCATGTCATGACAATTTGGCCATACTTAAACCTGGCTTGTATTACGATGGCACAAGGAGTTGTCTTTATAAAGCTACTGCAACCCAGCCAGCTTTTGCAATTGATTGTTTCAGATTGCATTCCTAACTCAGTTTGCAGGCAAAATTACTCTCTATTGTTGTGCAAATCTACTGTTCAGAGTGCAATTTTTTTTTCTCTTTCAAATCAAATTAGGTGTTACATACCAATTGAACTTGTTTGGAGGAAAAAAAATGAAAATATGTGAAGGATGCAACAGAGAAAAAAAGCAAACCACAGAGTTATAATTAATGGCTCATGGGCAGCCCGTTGCCTGGGGAGCCCTGCAGGTTGCCTGTGTCACGGGGTGCTTGTCCTCGCTGTAGATAGCAAATGCAAAGCATGGTGCTGCCACTCGCTCGCTGATGCAGTTGCCCATGAGCCACCCAACATCACTAGTTGGTTGATGGACATTTAAGTATTTCTCAAAGTAAAGTAAAAATCTGCATTCTACAGTGACAATCTACAAAGTGCAGTATGAGGGCGATCCAAAAATATCTTGTGTATTCTGGGATTTAAGTTTGGCTATCTCTCTATTCTGGCCAGTGCATGTATTGCAGGTTGCCCTGCATCTTACAGTCTTTCGGGTGACAGGGACAGTGTTTTGCAATGTGATCTGTCAGTTGGAAACATTCTCTTCTAGTCGGATACAAACATCCATCACTAGCTCAAGCCTGGGCTCTGCGGATGAAAATTCAATGGCTCAGGCTGATGACAATTTAAAAAATCTCCACCTGGAGCTCACCGAGACCTGTCTGGATATGATGGCCCGATACGTCTTCTCAAACTTCACTGCAGTGCCTAAGAGGTAGGGGTCAGGCCCTGGCCGCTGGAGAGGGGTTTCCATTTGAGCTTCATCTTTCACTTTATTTTAGTGGAAAATGACTGTTTTTTGCTCAAGGCCGTGGCAGAGCCAGGCTCTGGGGTTGTTCCTTGCAGATAATTATGAAGTTAGGTGAGAGAAGTGCACTGGAGCCAGCCAGCCTTGGGCTCAGCCCTGGCTGTCCCAGCGGAGACGCTGTGCCGGCTCTGGTGACCTGCTGTCCCTGAGCAGTGCTGTGCTCTGCCTCCGTGTGACAGTGGCCCTCTTGGTGACAACGCTGAGTGTCCAGCCAGCTGGCTTCAGCCCAAGGGCGCTTGCTTTCCTTGCTGATCCCTCCCAGAGGGAGGCTCAGGCTGCCTTCCCCTGCTCTCCTAATGCATGTCCGGGGGGCCAGCAGTAGCACTGCTGTCAGTTGATCCTGAAGTCAGCTCAGCCCTTATTCCAATGGATAATGTGTACATTGGTCAGGGTTGGGGCAGGAAGTTAAAAGACACCAGAAGAAGGAGGAAAGCAGGATCTGCGACATACCTAAAGTGAGGCTGAGAGTGTGTTCCTACAAACGTGTCTCCAGGTCTCCTGTGGGCGAGTTCCTGCTGGCTGGAGGAAGGACGAAGACGTGGCTGGTTGGTAACAAGCTCGTGACTATCACTACGAGTGTTGGAACAGGGACAAGGTCTCTGCTTGGCCTAGACTCTGGAGAGCTCCAAAGCAGCACAGAATCAAGGTAAACTCTGCTACTATTTCTAGAAATACCACCTAGCAAAGTCAGTTAAACCATGGTTATGCCAAATCCTTTTAGTCGTTCCTCTTAATTAAAGAGAACTCTTGTTTGTCCAGCGTGATTGTTTGCTCTCTCAGTAACACTGTTCTTTTTTCACAGCTCAGACCCTGTTTCACAAGTGAGACAGACTAAAGAAGCTCCAGCAAAGCTAGAGTCTCAAGCTGGGCAGCAGGTCTGCAGGAGCTCTCGCAACAGAGTCAGATCCATGTCCGGTAAATTCCTAACCTGGAGTCTTACAGCTGCTCTTGGGTCTGAGTAGTAGACTTGGGTGTCACCTCATTTGAGAATCGGGGCTGTCTTGTGTTTTGGAGAGGGCCAGCAGCAGCTGGTGGCCTCGGGAGGTGCTTCTCATCTTGCTGCTCCATGCAGGAAGCTCTGGCAGTGGTGTCAGTGGTGAGCTTTTGCAGTGAGAGTCCCCTGTATTAGCTAACCTGGTGGTTTAAAAGCAGCACAGAATTCTTTTAAGTTGCTAATATTGTGAGCTCAGGTGCTAGAGGAGCTTAATAGACTTCCTGTTCTGAGGTAATTTTAGTGCTAACTAAACATGGCTCTCCTTTCCGTTCTGTGCTTCTGCTAGGTGGCCATGCCTTACGTGTTGGTGCTTTAGACAGTTCAGCTTCCCAAGGGATTCAGAGTCCTCCTGCTCCTGCACCTCGAACAGAGAAGACAAACCCTCCGGCACAGACACCTCTGCAGAAAGAAAAGGCAAATTTGGCTGCGTACGTCCCTCTGCTGACACAGGGCTGGGCAGAAATCCTCGTGCGCAGGCCCACAGGTATTCTTGGCCTGGGTGTGGAGTGGGTATTTTTTGATTAGCTAAGGAACTGAAGCCTGATGGAGAAGAAAAAATCATATTTAGTGCAAATGGTAGACTCTTCTGCCTTTTGAAATTAACACTTCTGATACTTGATTCTTTGGAATCTTTCTTTAGTGTTTTAAAGCTATAAAAGAGCTGTGAAAAGACTGAAGTGAGAGCTTATATTTGCAGATCAAAAGCTGTTACAGAAATAGGGAAAGAAATGTGGAAGGTAAAACTTCCTGTCTGGTTAAAAATTGAAGCTTTCTGGAGTGGAAGTACTGAACGCTCTTTCCTAACTGTCTCCACCAGGTAACACGAGCTGGCTAATGAGCCTGGAGAACCCGCTCAGTCCTTTTTCTTCAGATATCAACAACATGCCCCTGCAAGAGCTCTCCAATGCACTCATGGCTGCAAGGAGCACCGAGAAACGGCTCTCTATAAATCCCTCTCTGTCCCATCCTCCAGCTTGGCCACTGGGACAGCCAAACCATCCCTTCTGCAGCGCTCCAATACAGGTGAGAGATGTCTGGCCAGCAGCGTGTCCAACGTAGCTGCCACTGGCCTGTTCAAGGTCAGCTGGAGTTACTGCAGGTCTTCTAGAACAGTAAAGCTAGCAGCATGAGGAATAACGTAGTGAGGAGAAGAGAAATCAGTCCTTCTCCATAGCAGAAAGTGTTCAGGATAAAAATTATCTTCCTCCTTGCTTCTAATATTCCATTGGGAAAAAAGTCACTTAAAAAATAGCTTCTTTGGAGGAGTAATGAGTGTCATGCTAAATGTTCCCCTGGTGAAGATGCAAAAGCCATGGATGTTTTCCCTTTCCCACATGGTTGGGGCTGATCTGGGCTTCCCCTGTGTGGATGGAACTTCCTGTGCAGTGTTTCCATTTCCATTTGTCTTTAGGATGGAGCCTTGTTGGCTGCTGACAGCACTGGGCTCCTGGGAGAATGGTCTAATACCAACCTTGCCATTCAGTGTGTGTTTGCCACTGTCTTTTACAGTGTGAGACATGTCAGCATGTCAGTCCTGTTTGCTGTGAATATATTCCCTTTTAAAAGGATTGTTTGGCCTTTAGACTCAGGCATTTGAGTTTCTTAACTCATCACTTAAGTTTCTTTTGATGGCTTTAACAACAGCCTCGACGTGTCACTATGTTGACTCTGCTGCCTGGTGACATGAGCACTAGCTCACTTCTGCAGGGGCTGTTAATGTTGAGAGGCCTCTTTGGACCAACAACTGGATTTTGGGAGCCTTGTACAGCTCAGGGCTGTGATCATCAACACCTGAAACTGCCTGAGGCTCTCGGCATTGCTAGAGCTAGCACAGCTGGCTGGAGGTGACATTAATAGTGTAGGTTGTTTGGAAAGCCAGTAAAAATGCTTGCTTTAAACAACCTCACCAAGACCTTTTTGGCAAAACATGATTTTAAGGTTTCAGGGTGTGTAAGGCGTAAAAATTCAAGCTAAAATTAAATGATACCTTTGAAAAAAATCTTATCTGTGAACAATTTCATTGACCTTTAAGATTTTGTGGCGCATAAACATTAATAGATTAGTTAAAAGAAGCACCTACTTAAATGTCAGTCCCAGGGCAGTTCTCAGGAAAATTATTTAAGCCGTGTTCTTGGTAATGCAACTTCTACGTTAGCAAGAATTCAGATTCCTGTAGAATTTTTGGAACTGCCTGACAAATTAATGTTTTGGGTCATATATGTGTTGCTCTCTTTTAGCCTTTTTAGAGGCAAAAACTGTGTAAATCTTTATCCGTATTTCTACTCTTCAGTCTTCTGTGTGTTTAAAAATGATCTTTTGTGAAAAGTATGTGGCTTAGGAAAAGCCCACCCTTGTTTCTGGCTTGTGCTAGGATATCTCCAAGGGCTTCTCCATTTTCTAGCTCTAAAAGCTAAGATGCATTCTTCCAAGAGAGCAGCTTGGGTCTGGTTGTTTGAATGTGTTTATGGCTCCCTAGTCATGGTGAGACCCTCTACCCTGAAAGAATCCCATTGGCATCTAGTGAGCTTATCCCAGCTTGTTCTTTCCTTTGGTCTGCTTTTTATTTATTTATTTGTTTTTTTATTTATTTTTAAATAGGTTCTTGGTTACATTTTAAACTCTGTGCTTTTTAATTTTTCATATAGTCTCTCCTTCCTTTTGATGTAGCTGCTCACTTGATTTCCCTTTGCAGTGGCCTCTTTCTCTTCCATGTACCAGTCCAGTTGTCAAGGGAAGTTGCACAGGAGCATATCCTGGGCAGGTATATTTATATATATTTAAGGAAAAAAAAAAAAGTATTGCCATAGAAGAACACCTCTGATTCATAGAAAATGTTTCCCTCATACTTCATTTTCCCCTTTCATGTCTCCTGTCTGTACCCGGTCTCATTACTCTCAACAAATGGGATCTTGACTAGCATGAAGAAGTCCAAGCCAGATCCAACATTTGCAAGTGCAGATGCCAACTTAAGACAACTTGTGTTTTAGCTGGGGTGGGTTGGGAGTCAGGAGGCACAGTGTTAAATGACACATCAAAATGTCTGAGTGTCTTAATGGAATTATTTATTTTCAGCTTTATTTTACAATTGGCTTTGTGTTCTGCTAATTTGGAACGCTCCCATTTCTGGGAATAACACCGTGTATGTGATAGGAAGAGCTATTCTGAAATGAGGTCCCAAACTGCTTGGCCCACAGAAAACTGGCCACAAAATCTGATGCTGTTTCATGTTACAGTGGGTGCTGGTTGCAATGGGGAAATCTGATAATTGTAGCTTTGCAGAGTCTACATAGATGGATAGCATAAAATCTTTCTCTACTTCATTAAAATTGTTTTCCTAAATAAATAATGTGGAAATCAAATTGCTTACCTCACAAGCACCGCACCTGCATTGCTTTGATGATCTGCAGTGCTTTGTGATTTTAATGAAAGGGTTGAAATTTCCTTCCCCCTTCTTTCCCTCGGTGGAAAGTTCTCTGCAGAGCAGCAGGGTACTCCTAACTGCTTGTTCTTGTTCAGGCCTATTAAAGCAACACAAAGATGCTGCAGTAAAATATTTTTCTATACTTCTCTTCGCTCATACTATTTTGTTCCCACCTACAGTGCAATTAGTGAGCGTGCACATTATTTAAAAACACAGCAATCTTGACAGCAGTGTAAGAGCTAGGGAAGCTTGGAAGCACTGGGTATATGCAGGTGTGTTCTGGCTTGGACAGCTAACCAGATCAGCACGTTTTTTAGAAGGTATGTGTGTGCGATGCTAACTCTTAATTGCTTCTTTGAAATAACTTTGGTCCTGCGAGTTGAAATCAATCCAGGAAAAAAAAAAAGCTGCTTTAGTAATTTTTATTTTTGCTGATTATTTTTCTTTTGTGTCTGTGCTAATTTATTTATTTATTTTTACTTTGGAAAACAAATCTTGGCCTTTCAGATTGGTCTTCCAGTCCCTTGTGTGCGTAACGGGAAGCCTCCTGTTCTCCAGCCTTTTCCTCAGGACAAAAAAAAAAAAAAAAAAAAAAAAAAGCGAGGTCAAGAAGAGCCTTTGGTCAGACTCAGCCCTGGGGTCAGGGTTCTGCCTGGAGCAGGGACAAGGTTATGTGCTGTGATAACCTCCTCCACCATAGGCAGGGCTTCCAGGAGCTTTCTTGTCGGTGTGGTTCATTAACCATTTGTCTGAGCAGACGCCACGTGCAGGTTTCCCAGTATTGTGGCAGTGCATGTATTACTCTCCCTCTCTTGTCTTTTCATGTGTCTGAGGCTGAATTATTTTGCTTCTGCTGAGACATACTAGGAAAACTGCCAACCTGCAAGTAAATGGCTCCTAGTAAAACATCTCCTCTCCTTCTAGGCTGCTCTCAGGCACAGGAGCATTGCATTTCAATGCAAGAAAGACCTTTTCTTTTGCATAGTTGCATAGAACTGATGTCTTCCTTGCCTGGATGATAATGGACTTTTAATGCTAGTCTTTTATTTTCACGCATCTCTGTAGTTACTGTCTGTCCTGATAACTGAGTATTGATGTGCCCAAGGTCCCATTTTCTTCATTCTCTCCCCTGCTTGTTCATCAGTAACAATTGGAAACAACTGCACTTATTTTGACAAAAGCAGATGCAGCCCTTTGCTATAAGGGTAAGTTGCTCAGTTATTCTGTGCAAAAGGGAAACCAGGAACAAGTCTGAGATCAAAGAACTAGACCACACATCCAACATGGCCTTCCATTGAAATCCCATAGGGAAAAGGCTGGTACTTCAGAGGAAAGAATGGGGTCCTGCCAGCCTGTGCCTCTTTGCTGACTTGGCCCCTTGTGCGTTGTGTCTCGGTAGAGTCAGCGGTTGTGCTGGAGGAAGGGAGCCCCTTGGAAGTGGAGCTGAAGGAAACGGATTCCCCTGCTGAGTCTCCGGAGAGTGAAGATTTTGAGGCTGGATGCCCTGACCAGGTCCTGAACGAGGAGAGGTTTGGTAAACCCCAGGAGTCTTACAGCAGGGTAAGGAGAAGCAGCAGCCTGCCAATTCTGTCCTGTGTTCCAGCCTCATCTTCGGGCGCTGGAGATCTGCCTGTGCTCAGCCGAGTCCCCCACCGTGTTATACCCTTTAGGAATTCATTAGTGATACCAAAATGCAGCTATGGTTGAGAGTTTGGATGGTTCACAAGGGAGAACACAGAGAACAGCAGCAGTAAATACCTGTTTTATGCAGGGTCATCCATGTGCATTTCTTTGTTTGGGGACTTCTCTGCCCATCTTTTACTGAAAGTGTTTGGGGGTGTTTCAGATACTACCATGCCAGCTTTTATTTTACTTTCTCGGAAAATTGTCCATCTTTGTTTTTTTTTCTTTTAAGTCCTCCTCAACCTCTAGTCAAGAGGAAAAATCTCTGAAATCAGAAGACCTGGTGGAAGGCGGCATTCCCATCGGGAGAGCCCTCCCCTCGGAGGACAGCCGGGCGCTGGAGGAACTTTCCTTCCAGCCGTCCCAGCCGCTCAGCAAGTCGAGCTCCTCCCCTGAGCTGCAGACGCTGCAGGAGGTTCTCAAAGACGCCAATGGCAGAGAAGTGACGAGAAGACTGAGCACAGAAGTGAAATCCAAATCTCAGTCTGGGAACCTGGAAGGGGAAGGGCTGGGAAGTTGGTTGGGCCGGAGCGAGGATGCCAGAGCGGCCGGGCCGGGGGGCTTGGATGGCAGCGGGGCGGCCACCTCGCCGCGCTCGCCCGGCGGGCACCGGCCCCGCGGTTACACCATCTCCGACTCGGCGCCCTCGAGGAGGGGCAAACGCATCGAGAGGGAGGCCTTCAAGAGCAGAACCGCGGCCTCCAACGCCGAGAAAGTACCGGGAATAAACCCCAGGTGGGTTGGAGAGGCATGTCGGAAGCAACGTAGAGCTTGAAACTGCGGGAGCCGCAGCTGGGTTTGCTCCAAGTGGCCCGGGGGTTTTTTAAGAGATACAAAACAGTGTCTGTTTAAAAGAAGGACTAGTAGCCTGTTATTTCAGGTCCTGAATACAGACGTAGTGAACACACTACCACGAAAATAATTTTGCAATCTTAGGAAATAAATCTCTTAACTAATCAGAGAAATAGATTAATATTTTTCTGATGATTCTACTCTTTCCTAATGATTCTACTCTTTCCTAATTTGGAGTAGCAGTGAGCATCAGTGGCTTGAGTACAGGTCACCTAGAGTTAATTGAGCTGTAAATGGGGTGAGTTGCTAGCCTTGCTTTTCAGAAATGCAAAGTGCAAAGTACCCAGCACAAGGAAGGATGGGTGGCTGGAAGAGCTACTTTTCAAATGTGAGATATTGGCATTGCCCAAAACTATGGCATGAGACAGCTGCCTTCTTGATGGCAGGTTAATTTTGTAAAATCCGAGTCTCTGAAAAATGGCTTATCTTCTAGACTAAAAATATGTAAGATAACTGTGATGCAGGAGTGCCTTCCCACTCCTTCATCCTGCATAGCGAGTGCCTGTTGGATAAGGAATTTGTGCAGCTGCCACTGCTTGAGATAATGACAGATTTTGACATGGGTTTCTACTCAACAGGAGGTAGTCCAGGCACTTAAAGTGTCTTTAAAACATGAATAATACTCTGCTAGGACTGTAATTTCCTCTCTTTTTCTTCTCTATACAATGTTCTTATATGCAACAGATTAAAATGGATTTACTGCTTATGATAACGGGGCTTGTTTTCCCCCCGCCTCCAGCTTTGTGTTTTTACAGTTATACCACTCGCCCTTCTTTGGAGATGAAAACAACAAGCCCCTTTTGTTGCCAAATGAGGTAGGCAAGGGGGTATTAATTAATATTTCCGGTTATTTTTTGTAACATAAAACTTGGTGCATAATTTTTCATGCCTGCAGCTGAGATGAAGAGGTGTTTTAATTTATAGTGATGGATGCATCTAATCCATGCAGTTTTCCAGATTAATCTCAAGAAAAAGAAGCCCCGTAGGTGCCATGTAGGGCAGCTCTGTTCCCTAAACCAATGCCCATGGCCTCTTGTAGAGCAGAATTGGGCAACATTCATTGCTGAGTTGATTAGCAAAAGTTGGGATTTGTAGAGCAGAATTGGGCAACATTCATTGAGATGAGTGCTGAGTTGATTAGCAAAAGTCGGGAATCTTTCCTTGCTCCTTGTACCCTCACAGTCTGTGTGTAGCGTGCCACTATCCCGAGGAGGTTCTGGGGAGGGTGACGCTGTTTGGAGATAACTGCTGCTTAAAGATACGCCGAATGTTTTGATTGCAGACGTTTGAAAGATCGGTGCAGCTCCTGGATCAAATTCCTTCTTACGACACGCACAAGATTGCAGTGCTCTATGTTGGAGAAGGCCAGGTGAGTTGTGTGCAAATGCCTTAATTGTTCAAGGGGTCCATTTCAGCATGGAGCTGAAGGCCAAGGAGCAATTGTGCAGTCTGAGTGACTCTGGGTCTGTCTGTGCAGGAAACATCTTGCTGTCCTACCTGCCAAAGCAGGAGCCCAGGGGAAGCCCCTCTTAGCAGGGAAGACCCTGGTTGCTCCAGCCAATGGAGAGGTCTTGGCTTGCACTGTGGGACTCTTGTGTTTTGTATTTCCTAGAGCAACAATGAAATTGCCATTCTGTCAAACGAACACGGATCCTATCGCTACACAGAGTTCCTGACAGGGTTGGGGAAGCTCATTGAGCTCAAAGACTGTCAGCCTGATAAAATTTACCTTGGTGGCCTGGACGTGTGTGGGGAGGATGGGCAGTTCACATACTGCTGGCATGATGACATTATGCAAGGTAAGATGGCTCCAGAAGCTGGAGGATGGTTTCTGCTCGTCTTAAAGGTGGGTCCCACAAATCGTTTCCTTCCCAGGGGTGTGGTAGAGACAACCTGGGGCTCTGTTCTCTTTTTCTCTGATATCTTGGTATGTTGTGGATTAAAACTTTGAGGAGGTGTCTACATACCTTATTTATGGAAAAAAAAATCATGCTCCTTGCTTATTAAATAATCTGAACAATCAGAGATTGATTTGGTGATACATAGAGGTTTGCAGAATAAGCTGTTCCTTCTTGACCTTCTATGAAACCTGTTAGCTGAGGGCAGTGTTCCTGCCAAAAATTTGCTGAAAGTTTCACTTCAGAGCAGTATTGACAGTAGGAGGGTTGTCATTATCCGTGGTTCTTACTGGTTGAATCGCAGCGTTACGCAGCTGCTATAGCACTAAGCAGTGCAGATACAGTGTAAGGTCCAGCAGGCTGTGTTGAACTTCCCAATTTTTCATACAGCTCTGTGCATCCCGGTCGATCTGGCAGCAGGAACCAGGGAGCCAGCTGCACGTCACTGCCTGTGGCTCGGGGCTCTGCAGAGCTTCGTTAGGGGAAATCCTTTTTCAGGTGTTTAACTCCTCTTCCAAGCAGATTCCGCTCTCCTGTGGCCCTGAAGAACTTGGAAGCACTTGTCTTCATCTTCTGTTCCTTTTATAGACACAGATAGATACTCTAGCTGGATTAGAGCTCTTAACTCCAGTATCAATCTGGCACATGCTGAAAGCCAGACCCATGATGTGCTTTTCTGAGCCTGGTGCTAGAGACAAGCCCTGCTGGCAGGTGCAGAGCCTCCAAAGCTTCCCCTTTCAGTGACCAAGAGCTGGTTATTGTGGTCCATGTTCTGGGGAAAAAAAATACATATATTTTGATTATGTGGTGCTGGCATTACTGTGTCTTTGAGACAAATGTGTTGCCCCCTGCTGAGCCAGGGCCCCTGTTCCTGCCTGGCCCGTGGCAGCACTGCTTTCCCAGCCCAGCTGAAGGGTTTCCTCTCTTTCTTCCTCAGCCATTTTCCACATTGCTACTCTGATGCCCACTAAGGATTTGGATAAACATCGCTGTGACAAGAAAAGGCACCTTGGGAATGATTTTGTTTCTATCATTTACAATGACTCTGGAGAAGACTTCAAACTGGGAACAATAAAGGTACAGGAGTCTGCTCGTGGGTGTGTTGTGAAGCAGATGTTTGCTGTTTATAAAAGCTTAAGAACATTCTTAGCTTGGCAGGCAGCGTGGAGGTCACGATTGGGGGTTTTTTACCTCGCTGGATTTGCACGTGTGAGCACGTGGCACCCACAGGGGTTGAGATGGCTGCCAGTAAAACGTGCTTTGCTGTTTTGCTGTTTTCTCTTTAGGGTCAGTTCAACTTCGTGCATGTGATCATCACACCCCTGGACTATGACTGTAACCTGGTGACCCTGCAGTGTCGGAAAGGTAGGACTCGCTCCAGTGTTTGTTCTCAGTCTGTTCGTGGTGCAGTAACTGCCTTCAGCTTGGAGCGTTTTGTGTTTCCAAAGTAAAAACCTTCTAGGAGAAACCCTCTGAAACCAGTTTGCTGCCCTGAGTCTTGGGATGTCCTATTCATAAATATGCCCCAAGATAGATGACATCTTCCCTTGGTACCACTCATGCTATCATCAAACTAAAGACAGCGGCAGAGTACAGCACATCCCTCTGACAGCTGCTTGGAATTGCCTTTGGAGACAGGAGCAGAGATCCCTGGGAAGGATTGTCCTTCCCAGCAGTGCAGGACTTGATCCTTGGAGACTGGTCAAGGCTCCTTGCTGAGTTCAGCATCTGCTTCCCTCTTAACCAGAGGGGCACTTTTGGAGTGCTCTTAGCTCTCACTTTGATTTATGGGATAGTGGGCCCAGCAGGCTGTCATCAGACCTTTAAGAAGCAGCCAGAATTTAAGAGCTGCTTTTATAAAGTTGCAGTGTGAGTTTTGTTTCAACTGGAGCTGTAGTGCTTGATGGAAACTTCTGAGATTCTGTGCTGAAAATCCTCATGCTTGTACGTTACCCATACGTTTAATTACTGGCAACATTCCTCTTGTTCTTAACTGTGTTTTACATTATTTTTTTTTCTTTAAAATGAAGATATGGAGGGACTCGTAGACACAAGTGTTGCTAAGATCATCTCCGATAAGAACCTGCCCTTTGTAGCCCGTCAGATGGCCCTGCACGCTAACGTGAGTACCCCGGGCCCCGGGAGAGCCACGGAGCAGCGAGGCTTTCTGCCCGGTGCTGTCTGTTAAGGAGCCTTTGAGTCACGGTTGGCACATCAACAGTTAGACCTTTGGTGCCTGACAAACTGTACTAAAATGTTCCATCCAGCTTGTTGTCGCAGTTAGGCTACAGCGTCCGCTCTCTTTCTCTCCTTAGATGGCTTCCCAGGTTCATCATAGTCGGTCCAACCCTACTGACACTTACCCGTCCAAGTGGATTGCAAGGCTGCGTCATATCAAGAGGCTAAGACACCGGGTGAGTAAAACCTGCTCTATTCTCCTTTCTTAGCGTTGATAACTGTGCTCTGCTGTGCAGACTTAATGCAATGGGGCAAGAACTAGCTCAGGGGGTCAATATACACATGAAGTTTAGAAATCTGCTCTCGGGAGGGGTGACACGTGTGATGATGTTGCTGTGGACTTGCTCCCAAACACTTTTGGGAGAACATATAACTTACCAGTTCTCATTTGACTTACTTTTAGCTACGTGAAGAAACGCAGTACCAGACTCCTGGCCTCCCCCTGCAAATGCATCCGTCAGCCCCAGCGAAGCCCCCTCCCCAAATACCTCAAGACCCTCCACCCACCTATGAGACGGGGCAGAGGAAGCGGCTCATCTCCTCCGTGGATGATTTCACAGAGTTTGTGTAACCCCGGGGCGCTCGGGGCTGTTCCCAGCCCCACGCGCTGGCTCCGTGGGCCACGTGCACGTAGATGAGTTGGGACGGCTGTGGCGGTGCCGCTGTTGCTTTCATGTGAACTGGGCCATGAGGCTGGACCGTGTTTCCTTGTCTCCACTTGCCACAGATGTCCACCAGGGACAGCGTGTCCCCAGCAGCTGCTCTGAGAGGACCAACTCGCCGGTTTGTTTTTAATGGGCTTGATCTAGTTCCAGGCTTTCATCTCTGCTGGCACCTTCCTTGCAAAACTTTCTCTAGACTCTTCTGACACCAGGGTTTGGTGGGCTTAAACCTCAAGTCTGTGTGTGTGTGTGTGGGCTGCATGTCTTCACAGCGCTGGAAGGGGCAGGAATTAGGGGAATCTGGACACCTTTATTGAGCATTGAATACACGGGATTGCAACCCAGTCACTGTTTCCAAGCATCCTGGAGTCTCAGCTCTTCTCCAGGCCTCAGTGCCCCTCAGCAGTTGAGCTCCCCACATTCCCAGACTTGTTCTGCTGCCAGCTCTGGTAGGAGCTAATTTGGACCCTGACGTTACCTACCCATTACAGTGCTCACACGTGCAAGGTCAGCTCAGTTTTGGGAGCCTCGGGCCGAGCTTCCCTCATCCACCAGGAATGTTTTGCAAATGGAAGGCAGAGCAGGGCTGTGGGTGTCCCCGGTGGGGCAGCACGTGCTGGCGTCCCGGTCACTTGTGACAGATGGACCCCTGGGACTGACTGCGAGGACTGAGCTGGGTCAGCTGCAGAATTTCTGCCAGCTCCGTGAGGACAAGGCCGGGCCCTGGCTGTGCGGCTGGTAAGTGTGCCGAGGCGTACGCATGATCTTCCCTGTTCCAAAAGATGCTTGACTTGGCATGGTGGCGGCAGCTGGGAATGAGGCTGAGCGCTCCTTGCTGGGGGCTGATGTGGCCCCTGTCGTGGGCATTGGCCCCTACCCTGCGTGCCCGGGGCCGTACCGTGTACCTGAGCTGCTGCTTTGTGACGAGCTGTGAGTGTTGGGAACGGTGCCCGCGGCCACGGCAGGGCCTGTGGAGCTGCAGGGGGACAGGCCAGGAGCAAAAAGAGACGCTACTCCCTGAGGTGAGACTGGGAACGCTACGTGGATGTTGTGTTTTGAGTGTTTAAGGCATCACGGAAATAAAATATTTGTATGAGCGGTGAGCTGGGCCTGGTCTGCAAAGCCTCAAATCGCATCTAGTGATAATGGAAATTCCTCTGTCCCCTTTGAGTGCTGGAGGGACAGAGCTGGAGCCCGGCCTGCAGCGACGCCAACAACAGCACAAGAGCCCAGGCTGAGCAGTCATCTTTTATTTGACCTTGTCATTTTTTTTTAAGAAACACCCCCCCACACACACAGTTACAAAATACGGTACTTTTATTGCAGTGAAATGCTAACCAGACATAACAGTTTACGTATTGGTCATAACGGTCCATTCCTGTAAAAACAAGCGCTGAGGGGAGAGTCCCTCTCGCCCTTTTCAACGAGCGGATATAGAGCATTTGCTGAAGCAGCCTGATACTGGTGCATCTTTGTGAGACTTAAGGCAATAAATAAGAAGGGCGCCCTGGGTGCCTATGGACAGGGAGAAGGAGGAGGTGCTGGGCAGGGGTGTGAGTCAAGGCCAGGGCCAAACACGGAGCCGCCTCGAGCACCTCTGGGAACCAGGGCTGCCACCAAGCCAGGCCGAGGGCCCCGGCTGCCCCAGCACCCACTGTGGGCTCCAGAGCTGCTCTCCATCCTTCCCGCGAGGAAGAGGAGGGCAGTTGTCTTCTATCCTATCCCGGTTCTGCTCCTCTTTGCTTAGAAGAAGCACTTGGTCAGTCACTCGCATCCACTCACTCACACAAGCGCCTGCGCCCTGCTCGGCCCTGCCGCCCGCCTCCGGCCGAGGAACGTCCTAACAACATCCCAGGAATGAGCCTGGGCTGGAAGGGGGCTCCCAACCGAAAACATCCCAGGAAACAAGCCCAGGCTGGAAGGGGCTCCCAGCCCCTCTTCTCCAGAGCTTCCTCAGCTGCGCTCAAGGTGCTGATAAGGCCCCACGTTCCTCGTTTGGCCTTTACAGCGCTTGAAGATGCAGGCCGAGATCCAAACCTTGGACTTAGTGACTCCCCTTGGGGAAGCCGAAACACTGCAAGGAGTACCTGAAGTTCCCCCAAACACTGCAAGAAGTACCTGAAAATCCCCAAAAAGTACCTGAAAGCCAGTGCCCGCCTGGGCTCAACCTCCCTCCTCCCCTCGGTGGTGGCCGAGGCCGCGCGGGCGTCCCGCGCCCGGCGCAGACCAAGGCGGCCGCTTTTCCTGCATGGGGGTGACTCCCTCCCGCCTCCGCTCTGAGGTCCAGCCCGAGACTCGGAGACTTTGGCTTTGAGGGGAGCCGTAGAACAGAGACCCTGGGGGTAACGCGTCTGCCCTGTGCTCCTCTCCGAGCCCAATCCTGCTTCACGGGGGCTTCCTGGGGATCCCTGGCGGCCGCAGCCCCTGGCTCCTCTCCAAGCCCTGCTGCTCTCCAAGCTCCCTGCTCATTCCCGGTGGGAGGGCGGCGCTGCCGCCCTCGGCACCTCCTGCGTCACCCCGTCCCGGCAACCCGCCGCTCCGTCCCCCTCCGTCCCAGCGCGCGTCCTTCCGCAACCTCGCTCAGCCTCTCCCAGCACAGGGTCTCCGACCCATCCCAACGGCCTCCCCCGTCACTCACCGCATCGCGGGGCTGTGAAACACCTCGAAACAGGTACAGGCGGCAGCGCCGCGGGGGGCACCGCGGCCGCGAGGGCTCCCTGCAGCGCCGCTGCCTCCCGCTCCGGCCCGAGCCCCCTGCGGAGCGCTAATACATCCCTTAAATAACTCTGACAATAGTATTCTGTCTCCTATCTACATGTTCCAAACGCGGTACCGATGCTATGAAAATATAGCAAACATACAAAAATATATACATTTAAAAAAAAAAAAAAAAAACCATATAAATTACTTACATTAGCCATAACTTGAAAGGGCAGCGACAAAGCGGGCGCAGGGCCCGGGGGTGCTTTGCGGCACCGTGACCCGGGCGCTGCGGTTGTGCCTTCCCCGGCACCGGCCCGGTCCCCGGCAGCGCTGCGCCCGCTTTGGTGGCAACGGCCCCTTTCAATTTATGCTTCAAGACAAAAATACTGCTTTTGTGATATATTATCCCATTCTTGTTAGCTCGCACGTGTCCATGTTAGCTGAGGAAAGCGTTGTTTAAAGTGCTGGGCAGTACATAGGAACAAGTAAACCAAGACAACACCTATAGCTACGTCCCCCCCGCTGGGGGGGAGCGGGCGCGGGGCAGCTCCCGCCGCTCCCACGGGCACTGCTTTAAATAGGGGGCTTCTTTAAATACACAGAATAGTACCCATTTCTGGAGGATAAAAGCCAATACTGGAAATTAACTGATTGGGTGTAGATACCGTTTAGCTATAGCTATATATATATTTATGCCTTTAAAAAAAAGAAAAAAAAAAAAAAAAAGGTTGGTTAAAAAACTTTGTGAAACCTGTAGTTCTCCCCCAC